TCTTCACCTCCTTACGCAGCCAGTGCCACTTGATACGCATGTGCTTATTCAGCCCGTGAAGCACAGCGTTCCTGGCCATCCCAAGAGCTCCCTTGCTATCACAAAACAGCGGCGTAGCAACCTTCTGCTCCTGGCCAATCTCCTCTAACAACCTCCTCAGCCAAATCACCTCCTTCACCCCATGGAACATCGCCATGTACTCTGACTCCACGGAAGAGAGTGCTGTCTCCGTCTGCTTCTTTGACCTCCAACTAACCGGTCCTCCCCCAACTACGCAGATGTATCCTCCCACAGATGAGGAATCCTCCTTCTCAGAGGCCCACGTAGCATCAGTAAAGCAAGTGAGAAAAAGCTTGCCTTCTCCAAGCCTCTCCCCCTTCTCTTTCAGCACCTCAACCCCTTTCTGCTTCACCTGTGCAGATGCGGAGTATTGAACTCCAATGCTTGGGTGAGAGTTCAGATACTTCACCACACGCTCAGCTGCATCCACCTGCTCCTCTGATGGATTCTGCACTACCCTAGCCAGCTGCCCAACCGAGAAAGAGATGTCGGGTCTCGTGTGAACTGCTGCATACAAGAGGCTGCCCACCAAGGACTGAAATTGCTGCTGCTCCTCGGCTTCAACCCCTTCATCCTCTGCAGCTTTCACAAGCTTGAATTCTGCTGGCAGGGGAGTTGCAACCTTGCGCTCATTCTCAATTCCGTACTTCTCCCCAAGCTCCTTGATGAACTTTTCCTGCTGCAGCTTCAACCACCTGTGATCCAGATCCCTCTCCACGTGCATCCCGAGGTAGTACTTTACCTCCCCAAGGTTCTTGCACTTGAAGTTCTCCATCAGCTGCTGCTGCACCTTCTGGATCTCCTTCATGCTGCTGCTAAAGAGAAGAATGTCGTCCACATAGACCAGAAACAGCACCAGCTTCTCCCCCTCCCCCTTGAGAAAGAGGCTCTCATCACAGCTGCTGGTCCTGAATCCCATCTCCTCTAAAACAGCTGCCAACTTCTGGTACCAGCAGCGTGGCGCCTGCTTCAAGCCGTAGATAGACTTTTTCAGCTTGCACACCCTGCCCGTACCATCCTCATACCCAGACGGCTGCGTCATGAACACCTCCTCCTCTAAAATCCCGTTGAGAAATGCCGTTGATATGTCCATCTAGATAATGAACTTCCCACTAACGGCTGCATCTGCCAACAAGACACGAAGGGTAGGGGGTTTGGCAGTGGGAGCAAAGATCTCATTGAAGTCCCGCTTCTCCTTCTGCATAAACCCCTTAGCCACCAACCTACTCTTGTAGATGGTGACCTGCCCCTTGTCGTCAGTCTTGATCCTTAGCACCCACTTGCATTGTACCGCTTTCTTTCCCTCAGGCAGCACCACTAGTTCCCAAGTCCCATTCTCCAGCAGGCTCTGGTATTCAGCATCCCTGGAAGCTAGCCATTTGTCCCTATCTGGTCCAGCTAATGCCTCCTCCATGCTAGCTGGTTCCTCTGGTGCAGGGGCAAGAAAACAGTACGCAGGTTGATCCTCCTCATCCGGGTCATAGCCATGCGGTAGAATCAGCAATGCCTCCTCGGTCCCAAGCTGCTGCTCCGCTACATCAGCTCCTGCAGTCAGCTTCTTAGTAGCCATACGGGTACGTCCTGGCCTGGAGACGGGTGTCTCCCATCCCTTCATAATAACACCCTTCGGCTTCTTAGTTTTCCCCTGCTGCTGCTCTCCTCCCTCGGATCCAGCAGCTCCACTAGTGCTACCGCTAATCTCCACACCATCACCTCCACCAGCAGGTGCCTCCTGCACCTTCTCTTTATCACCACCCTCTGCAGCTGCCTCCTCTCCCTCCTCCCACACACTAGGAGTCAGGTCCAGCTGCATGGTAATCTGCTCCATCTGCTGGGACACCCTGGCCTCCGGCTGTTTCTCCCAGCTCCCATACATCATGCCCTCAACAAACTTCACATCCCTGCTGTCAAATAACACACCCTTGGAGGGTTCCCACAGCAGCCATCCCTTGCTCTCAGCAGCCAGCCCCAAATGCACACACCAGATTGCACTCGCCCCCAACTTACTGCGATAGGTCTTGGGAACGTGGGCGACTGCCATGCAACCGAACACCCTCAGCATGTCCACCGGCGGCTTCCTCCCAAGCCACCTCTCCAACGGCACCCACGAGTCATCCCCAACCTTTGTGAGTACCCTGTTTCTAGCGACCGTAGCGTGCCGAACAGCATGGGGCCACATGGAGTTGCCCAGCCCAGATTCTATGAGCAGCGCCCTAGCTGTCTCCAGAATTGTCCGGTTCGCCCGTTCTGCTACACCGTTAGACTGTGGGGTGTAAGCCGTGGTCAGCTCCCTCTGGATGCCCTGCTTCTTGAGCCAGGCCGTCATCTCAGCTCCAAGGAACTCACCACCCCGATCTGTCCTAATCCGCTTCACCACACACTCCGCTTGCTTCTCCACGAATGGCAGCCAATCGTCCCGAATCGTGGAGGCGGCGTGATCTTTCTGCTTCAGCGGATACGCCCACATTAGCCTGCTCCAGTCATCCACTATGGTTAAGAAGTACCGCTCCCCCTTGTGTCCCTGAACCGGCAGCGGCCCCACCAAGTCCATGTGGACCAGCTCCAACGGCTTCTTGCTCCTGCCAGCCACACTATGGAAGGGGAAACGGGTGAACTTTGAAAGGAGGCAAATTTCACAGTTATCATCGGGTGGTTGTCCGTTCAGCTTTAAGCCCTTAACGGCTCCATCCTTCTCCAGCTTGCTCAGCAAAGGCATTGCCACATGCCCCAATCGTCGGTGTGCAGTTGCCCAATCTGTCTCCCCAGATCTGGCCGACACTTTCACACCAACCCCTCCAACGGCGTTGCACTCCCCCTGGGATGCAGACCCTTCTCCAGCCTGCCCCCCACCGTGCCACGCCAGCGCCGGCAGCTGCCACATAGATCTGTACACGTCCTTGCTCTCGTGCAGATCCCAAAGCACCCGATTGCCCAGCTTCCCCTTATAAGTGCGAGCCCCATCCGTGTTGGTGTTCACCCCAGCCTTGCCAAGCTTACGGAGGGAGATGAGGTTGGCCTTCAGGTCGGGGACGAGGAGAACGTCGTGCAGCACCACCGGCTTGCCATCCGCTCCCTTAAATGCAGCTCGTCCCGCACCAGCCACCTTCAACATGTGTCCAGAGGCAGAGCACACCTCATTAATCGGTGCAGCGCGTACGTCGTCCAGCAGGTCCTTGCGCGGCGTCATTGTCCAAGCAGCGCCTGTGTCCAACACCCAATAATCCAGGGGGTGCAGCTCTGCTCCAACCTTGGCAGAGGCGTCTCCTTGCTCCCCCTTGTCTCCCATATGGAAGAATTGGCCCGCGGTGCGCTCCTTCTTCTTCTCCGCACCGCCGTTGCCCTTTGGGTTGTTGTCGGATGAATCAGCGACCATGTTGGCGCCGTTTTTCTGGTTCCTCCGCGCGCCGCCATCCTGGTGACGATTCTGGGGGGTCCATCCATCGGGTTTCTTATAGCACAAAAACCAGGGGTGCCCTTCCTTCTCACAATACCAGCAACTCCCTTTCATTTTGCCACCAGCACCCGACTTGCCCCCACGTCCAGATTTTGCACCGCGACCCCAACCGGTACCTCCTTGTTGGTCGTTGGAGTCGTCGTCTTTCTTTGCACCGCGTCCAGCACCACCGAAGCCACGTCCTTTGCCACGTCGGCTCCCTTGCATCCCGTAGCCGCTGCTGCCGTCGTCTCCACCCCTCAGTTGGCGGCGACGGAAGTCCTCCTCCAGAATCTTCGTCCGCACCCACTCGAGCGTCCACAAGCTCTGGTTCTGCGGCAGGCTCAATCCGCTCGTAAATTGAAGCCACGATTCCGGCAGCAGCGAGAGCATCTTCAAGCACTTTGTTTGCTCCGGGTAGGTGATTCCCGCGGTCGCCAACTTCGCGTAGAGGTCGCGCAATTTGTCCAGGACAGGTTGCACCGGCTCTCCCTCGCTCAGGCGCAACGCGGACAGCTCCCTCTCCAGCATCAATGTTGCAACAACGGAGGTCGGGGCGTGCAGCTCCTTCAACACCGTCCACGCCTTCGGACCACACTCAACCTCCGGCAGCAGGTGCATGACGTGGTGACGCTGGTTCAGCTCCAAACTCTGCGACATCAAGTAGTAGCCAGCCGAGGCGCGCTCGTCCCAATCTTCCTGAAGGGCGGGGTCACTCGGTCTAGGCTCCTCCCCAATCATTAGTTTCAGCAATCCGATTTGACGGAAATAAAGTTGCATTTTCCAGGCCCAATCATCATAACCCTCACCATTGAACTTCTCGACGGTGAAGTTTTTCAGCACCTCCTTGATCAGCGAGCCCTGGCTTGTTCGCGCTCCCCTTGGCGCAGAAAACACCAGAATCTTGGCTGCCGCTACGATCTTGGGCTGAAGATTCACCAGCTACCGCCGAGGTGTTGCCCGCCATAGCTACCTATAACGAGGATCACTATAACGCAGCTCTGATACCAGCTTGTTGGTGTAAGGGCCTAATAAACTCAAGCTATTAAGACTTTATCAAACTTAAAACCTCTCCTCGGGGTCACCTCCAAGGGTCCTTGGGTGCCTGGTACAAGACCAGCCCCTATCCTCGGGTCCGAGTTTGTAGAGAGAGGGATCAAGAGGGACTTAGTCAAAACAGCAAGAGTACCTTGAACGTCGCGCAGCGTATCGTGCAGACCGTCGACCGGATTAAGCTGAGAATTTGCTATATCGAAGCTCACTCTAAGAGCTTTAAATAAGCCAAGTTGCCTCGCGAAAAGTTCTGCCATTACGAAGTTATGGCTCGGACAGCGTTAGCCTAGCTTTGGAGTGCTAGCATACTAGCGTTGACTTGGGTAGCATTCCGCCGTCGCATCGCGTAGAAACGAAATTCCAGCAAGGAAGGAATTCGCTTGAATCAATTTCACTATGTTCAGGTACAAACAGAGAAGGAATAAATAGCTCTAGCTAGCAAGGACCTTGGGAATCAACCTGGGAACAACCAGGGATGATCCCAAATAATTCCAAGCAACAGAACCAACCTGGCTGAACAAAATAGCAGGTGATAGGTTGGTGAACAACCTCTGGTTCTGTTTTTCCAACCTGGGAAAACAACAACCAGGTTCAGGTCCTAAAAACAGAACCTGTTTTGTCTTTGCCCAACCAGCCAAATGCTGGTTCCGCTGGTTTCCCCTGGCCCTGTAGCATGCAGATACAGACAAACAACATCCAACCTTCACCTAAATTGTACCCCTATAGTGCCTGCCCTGCTACACTATAGACAACCAAACAAAACAGTACAATTTCGAGTTGGATAGAACTGAATCTGCGCAATCAAGTAAGTTGAACCGCAAAGCTTCCATCTTGGGTTCCTTTGCGATCCCGTCCTTTCTGCTTGTACTGTTCATAGCGCGTACAATGTTATGCCGAAGCGCACATTTTGCGAGTACCTGCAAATGCTTCAAGCGAAAATTGCGAAAGCAAACAAACACACAAACATACCATTCACACGCAAATGCATTCGCACACGCATACTCGTACAAACAGACGGCAGGATGTCGTGCAATGTGAATTTGCACCCAACAGCAAGGACCAGTACCCCCACCCCTCTGACGCTGAGTGTACCACTCACGAAGCTGCTGAGGCGGAGGGATGTCCCGCGAACGCTGCTGCTGCTGCGAGCGCTGGCCACCACCCACCGCCGCTCCGCTGCTGGGTACCACCCCGACCAGCTCCACCCCCTCCACCACCACCGCCTCCACCGATGCTCCTCCGCCGCCTCCACCTCCGCCGCTGCCACCACCACCACCGCTGCACCACCACCGCCGCCTCCGCCGCTGCTGCCACCACCACCACCACCCCCGCCACTACTCCCGCCGCCACCCCGACCCCCTCCGCCGCCTCCGCCGCCACCGCCACCGCCCCCTCCAGCTCCACCCGCGCCTTGCCCCCTTGCCCTTGCCAAAGCGACGTCTCCCACTAGGGGCAGACTCCGCGCCGACCGACCCACAGACCAAGCAGGTCGGCAGCAGCAGTAGAGGCAACAGAGGGCCAGCAAGGGGGAAGGAGAGCACCCCTCAAAGATGGGGGTGCGAGGGTCTCCACGAGAAGCTCCTACAGCGACTATGCTCTTCTCCGCTGCGAGGAGGGCCTTCTCGAGGACGTCGACGGTGAGGGTGGTGGGACAAACTGCGAGAAAGTGGTCCCTGACTACGCGAAGGGAGTCAGGGAGGCATGCGACTACGTAGTAGAGAGTGATGTACATGGGGGGGGGGGTTCTTAGCGCAGAACTCAGCAGGAAGGGCGGCGCGGTAGCGAGTGTCACTAGTGCGGAGGTGCGTAATGAGGTCAGCGACAGTGGGAAAGGCAGAGAGGTCAGGAAAGAGGTAGGAAAGCATGAGACGGCTCAGTGCAGCAGTGGCAGGGGAGGAGTAGCGCGCAACTACAGCGTCGTACAAGGTCTGAGCACTCTTGTACTGACTAAAATGCGCGCGCTCAGAGGTAGGGAGGTGGCGACGCACAGCAAGACGTGCAGCAGCATCGCGGGTGGCCCACTGAGAGCGCACAGTGGGATCAGCATCAACTGCAGGAGCAGGAGAGGCGCGAGAGGTAAGGTCAAAGAGAGAGAGGGCTGTCTGCCCTATCGCACTGTAAAAACAACTGCAGGTCGTCTACCCAGACCTCAAAGTCAATGGCGCGACCCTCAGCGTCAAAAGCTAGGACACTGAGGGGTAGCATGACGACGACAGCGAAGCAGTGCAAGCAGAGTAGGGAAGAGCACGTCAGTTGACAGTGGGACTGTGCTCACCAGGCAGGGCAGGCTGGGCAACTCTGTCAGAAGGGCGGCTCGGGCGACTCAGCGACTCGGCTGCTGGGCGGCTCGGCTCCCGGCGGCTCGGCGCAGGGCGGCTTGGGTGGCAGGGCGGCTCGGGCTCCCCGGGCGGCTCGGCGGCAGGGCGGCTCGGGTGCAGGGCGGCTCGGCTCCCGGGCGGCTCGGCGGCAGGGCGGCTCGGGTGCGGGGCGGCTTCGGCTGCACTGCTTGCTCGGCTGTCTGCAGGTGGGCGGCTCGGCTGCTGCAGGAAGGGTGGCGGGCCGTGAGATCAGGGGCAGCGGGGCCGAAGCAGCAGGGCCGGCAGGTGC